TTTCGTGGGCTACAGCCCACTTCATTGGATGTCTGATGAAGTGGGCTGTAGCCCACGAAAGCTTATGCTCAAATAAATTTGTTAGTCTCTAAGGTGCCACAAGTACTCCTGTTCTTTTTACAGTATGTTTAGTCACATTCATGAATGAAGTGGCTGTGGAGAATGCAGTGGCCATCTCCCTTATGTAATTCTCTGATGGGGTAATGGATCATGGACTAATAATTCTAAACTAATTTTTAGTTTTAATACTTTTTTTTATCTTTAAAGATCCTATTTTGAGGAATATAGAGGAATACAGACTTGTCGTCCCAATCAGCACAGATTCAGAGGGCAGGTTCCTATCTAATCTGGTGTCTGGACCTCCAAGGGGGCGCTTCCGAAGAGATGCTGGGGATATGCAACATGAAGCTTCAAATGAGCAAATATTTTATAATGTCACTGTTTTTGGAAGAGAGTTTCACTTCAGGCTGAGACTGAACTCTAGGCTGGTTGCCCCTGGAGCAACAATTGAATGGCAAGAGGATTCTAATGTGACTCATATTGAACCACTCCATGGGAATTGCCTATATGTTGGGGATATCACTGATTTGCCTAACGCTTCAGTTGCTATAAGCAACTGTGATGGGCTGGTAAGCTGCTTTGCTATTATACCTAATATAATTACTTTACTTAATTTTCCTATAGTATATATATTTGAAATGTGTTGAACTTTGTCCTTAAAACTTGCACCTCATATGCTATGATAACTATGAATTCAAATTAACTAGGTGTTCCTTAACATAGGGGTTGCGACAATAGCTGCTTTTACAGGTAGACTGGGAGCAAGTTCAGTCAGAACAGGCATGTTCTATTTTAACTATTGTAACAAACCACTAAGTACTGTAACTCAGTGGTGATTTTCATTAGAACTTACTTGAGGTTTTTAACATTTAAAAGAGACCAAGTGTCATGTGCTGACAACATATTTAATCTTCGTAATATGGCTTTTACCTTTCTCATTTCAGTTTAAGATGAGAAGGGGATTTTTAGAAGAGGAGAACATTGTAAACAGATTTGACATATGTTATGCTTTTGTCTTTGAAACTTGTTCAAAGGATAGGGTCAGACCTTTACAGTTTTATAGATCTTTCACTAGAGTCAATTCTCTTGCCTAACCAAGTGATTTATGAAAAGTAGCAAAAGTGTTAAAGGGTTCCACAAGGAAACTGCTCCATATCATGCATTGTACGTGGCTGGATACATGAGAGCTTGTGTTCCAGAATAGAAAACCATAACATGTTCAGTGGCCAAACTATATCTGTTTGTGGCAGACATCTGAAAGAAGCGCACACTGTGATTTTAACAGTAATTGCTGTGTAGAGCAAACTTTGTTTAAATGACAAAGTGACTTTTTGGGGAGGGGTAGTGAACTTTTAATCTATCCAATAACTTCTTGGTAGACTTTTGGGTCTCATATCTTCGTGATTATTTAATTTCTATATAGTTCTCTGCTCTTCTTAATCAACCATTTGACTCAGTTGTAGTCCATTTTTTTTTCTAGGTAGTCATAGAAAACTTAGTTTACAGAACCAGAACACGTCTCAAAACTATAAAATGAAGTGAGAGGAAGGTCATCTCATTTACTTTTCCTTATTTCCACGCCTGTGATTCTTCCGCTCTCTTAACCGTATATGTTCTTATTTCTAGAAGTAGGCTTTAATGTTGCTGTATGATGTCGACAGGTTGCTAGGGGCTAAAGTTCCTTCAAGAAATACTCTTGGGACAATGCCAAAATGTACTATCCGAGCACACCAGGAAGCAGATGATGACTTCCCCTTGCCCAGGTGGGGAGTGATTGTGCCAGCGCAATACCTGGTGCAGATTAATCAACACACAATTACAACTGCTTTGGCCAGTGCATAGCTAGGGGTAGAGCCAAGGTTCTGCCCACTCCTCACCCACCTGCAACAGTGGGGAAGTAGCAGTCTTGTGGAGGCTGCTACTCCTCCTGTGCTGGCTACCCACACTGATGCAGGGGATAATAGGGAGGCCTGTTCCTTCTTACTCCCCTGTGCACAAGCATTAGATGGGCTGCAATCTGGCTATTCATATTTTAAGAGTCAAATGTCAGTTGGCTAGCAAAGAACTTGGTCAAAGCAAAAGATTAGGAACCTCTATCCCCATGGCCTTGTACTTTGTGTTGTCATTTATACCTGTGCACAGTGGGTATATAATGCTGCTGTTTGCACAGTTGTTAATAACTTCATAAAGTGCAAGGGAGAGGATAATTGGAGCCAGTGTCTCCAGTGATAAGTAAAGCCACCCTTCACATAATGCTAGGAATAATTTTAAATAGCTAAAAGCTAGAAAACAACAGTAGTTATCCAAAGAATGCTACCTGGTTGTCTAGTAATATCAGTTAGTTAGGATAAATTAAACACCATTGCATTAACAGCTGTCTGAACCTTAATGACTGACTTCTACAGAATAATATTTGAATCAGTTAAGAGTATGATCATCCAAATGAAGGCATTATTTTCACTTATAGCCTGATGTAAACCTTGTTTGTGGCCAATATGCATGGAATAAATTGATGTGACTCCATTGTACCAACTTGCAACTGCCTGTTGCACTTTATTTACTTAGGCCTGTTCCTGAAAACATTTATGCTTAATTTCAAGCTCATAAATGAAGTGCTTTGAAGACTTGGGCCTCCCTTTAGAATAATAGAAATAATATCATTACCCTGGAATACTGACCCAAATGGGATATTTTCAGCTTTTCAAATAAACATCCTGTTTTACCTTTTGTTTGCTTTGTGTCATTGCTTAGTCTGGCTTTGGCATTTAGCTAGCAGCTGGAGACTGTTCTCCTGTGACCGTGTTCTACACTAGTGACTAGCTCTTTGTAAATAGGGGAAATAATTAAAAAATAATAATTTAAACTTCAGCCAAATGAGCATCAGCTAAAAGTTAAAAGCAAATGCAGAAAAATGTACATAGAGGGTCACTCAACTCCCATTAAAGTGAATGAAAAAGCTTCTGCTGACTTCTGTGGGTACTGGATTAGATCCTTAGTAAGTATTCTATTAAGGTAATTTACCTCAGTAACTAAGATTTCAAGCTAGGTTGAAATACTGTGGGTTACTTTCTTATCTGGGTCCATAATTAATATGCTGGGTTCTGTCCAGCATTCTTATTTCCCCCCTGTCCATTAGGGAAACTAACATGTTAAAGAGAGAGAGAGAGAGAGAGAGAGTCCAGTGGCCTGAAGATAGGAATGAGAGCTAGCAAATTCTAATCTGGCTCTGACACTGATTTGCCCAAGGTGACATAATGTCTGTGCCTCGATTCATCCACTTCTAAATAGATAATTTTAGACTGTAAATTATTAAGGACAGACCATCACCTATATCTGTTTGTATAGTGTCTAGATAACTTGGGTCTTGTAATGCAGAGCAGTGCCCAAGTACCTTAATAAAAACTTGGGTGTAAATTACTTTCCCAAGGTCACACAGGAAGTCTGTGGTGGAGCAGTGAATTGAACTTGGGTCTCCTGATTTCTAGGCTAGTGCCCTAATCACTGGACCACACTACCTAGAACCTTTTATGTTCTTAACAATTGATTCATATGTGAGAACCATAGGAGGCTGTTCAGTATTCTAGGCTTATTAGTGTGTCTTCTGAATCTGAATCATTCCCATTCTGTCAAAGGTCGCTTAGGGAACAAACAAGGCCCTGCCATCCCTGTCTGTCCTGGGCTGTTTGTTGCATGTTCTCTTTGTTGTTCAGTGACATAAACTTTCCCTCTCTAAGTACTGTTCGATAGATGGATTCTTGGGATCGGCCCTTTTACGTGTCCCTCCAGCTGCTTAGCGGCATGCCTGCCGTGGCAGTTGTTCTGGCTTCATTCCTAACACATGTCCCAGATATTCCTTCTTTGTGGATAACTTTGAAGATAAGGGATTGCTGAATTCTGACAAATCTTGGCGCTTGTTATAAATTCTAATGCCTCATATTTTCCTGAGGCATTTGCTTTCAGAGGCATTTAGATATCTGGACCTTTGGTGGATTTCACATCTTTACGTAAAGGTGGAAATAACATTTCAGTTGAAAATTTTGTGGTTTGGTTTTCAGTTGTAGATCTTCAGTGACTGAATCTTGTTTAAACTGGTGAACGTAGTTGCTGCCTTGCCAATTCATGACATTATTTCCTTCTGCATATGCTCGTTGGCTTACATATTACTACCAAGTGTACCTTACATTCCAGTTAATACACCTGAGGAGACTGTCTGCTGTTGCTGGTTGTACCAGAAAGCTGAGGTTGTTGGAACTGATATAAATTACAGCAGTCAATCTGCAAGTGAAGTTGTATTCTATACAGTAGAGAGTTTGGGTTTTTTAAAAATCCTCTAATGTGTGATCACTCTAAAAAGTACAGTGGGGGTGTGTATATCCAACTATATATGATTTTTCAGTCAGAACTGAGGGTTGGTTGTTTTTAATGTGGGTCTTCCCAGAGCTTTCCAAAGTAGAAATCAACAACAACAACCAGTTTTACTAAGCACTGGATTTGCGGGAAGGTGGGGGGGAGCCAGGGATGGATGAAGACTTCCAAAGTATGTAAACCAGACATATTTTTCATAGCTGAATTAGGCTTTGAAGATCATTGGCATATTTAAGCTAATTAGTGGGGAACTTTCTTTATGAGCTCTCTCTAGAACTGTGAATGTGATTTTTAACCATGTAAAGAAAGTGTCACTGTAACTTGCCTACTTAAAATAAAAACAACTTGTTCTGTGTTGGGCTACTGAATATCTTCACTGTTGACTGAATCACACCCAAAATGAGTATGAGTGTATTCTGAGTTTAGAGGTTCAGTCCCCAGTTCTCCATTCCAGCAAAGCTATGCTCTGTACAGGGTATCTTTATGCCACCCTTGTGCCTCTCCATATCCTGCGCCATATAAGGGCCTGCCCTAGTATAAGAGCAACTTCAAGGCAGCTCTAAAATTCTCAGCTGCCTGTGGCCTCTGTGATCATTCTAGAAGACACAGTACAGGTCTGTCTCATCTTACGCTGGGGTTCTGCAGTCAGCGCCTAAAGCGAAAATCGTGTATAGTCAAAATTACATTGAATGTAATGGCGGGTGGAATCGCCCGCACTACAGAAACAGTATTTAAATTGTTATTTTTCTCTTTTGCTGTTGTTTTTTTGGTTTTTGCCGACCGTGTAAAGCTGAAATCACGCATGTTAAATGCGCCTAAGATGCGACAGACCTGTAGTCTGGCCACACACTTATCCTTGGTATGCCCTGTACATTAGGGATGCTGCTGGTGCACAATGAAGAGCCAGCTAGTTCCTGGGTTAGGGTTATTCTCTGATGGATAGATCCACTCCCTTTACAACCTCTCTTCATTGCTGGAATGGTACAGGCATGCCATAGGGCAATGAAAAATCAGGCCTATGGCATTCTCTCCTGACTTCCCTCCAAAGGGCCATCTTTACCTTCCCCTGAAAACCAAGGATCTTCTGAAATCTGCTGGCCACCATGGCCACCTGTATGAAAGACCCGTGACAGCACTGCAGGTTAGTCTTCATGGCTGCAGAGCCCTGCATAATGACCATCTGCTATGTCACAATCATTCTTCC